AATGACATGAGACAAAGTATATGTGAACTGCTGTATGAAAAGTGAATTTACTCTGTAAATCTTCACCCAAATCCTAATAAAAAAAGAAAAAGAAAAAGAAAAAAGAGTCTATTATCAGAGAGAAGAATAAATTTGACTTAAGGCACGGAACAGTAAGTAACCTAATGCAATAGGATTAACATATAGTTGTTTAAATTCTACCTCACCTACTATACTATAATGTCTTCATCCTTTGTTTCTCATCTGGAAACAAGGATTCAATCCATGTTTGATGAATGAATGAATGAACACGTGAGATTGACTTGTTCAGGAAATGCCACAAAACATTTCACACAATCTTCAACTTGGACTTTGAATAAGCATATTCTCCTATTTCAGTGGATCTGTTTCCACCACCTGGACTGTAACCTGTTGAGCCTTCATTTCAACAGCCCACTTTCCAGATTCTGTCTACATACTTCTTTCATCCCAGTTCTTATTTGGATTTTTGTCTAGTGCTTGAAATTTAAGAGGGTGCTCATATGGAGTCAAGTGTTTCTAAGGTGATCTCAGTTCATGATGGATCCAAAATAGAGCCACTACAGGTTATTGGTTGTGGGATAATTAACATCCATGCAGCATGCCTGTTAATTGAAATGAAATCAATCTGGGGGACGGTGGCAGGAGGGGTGAAAAAATAGCTTCTATGCCCTGATTGTGCGTCCAAGGGAAAATCTGGCTTTTCTTTCATGGGGTACCCATTGCTAGACTTGCCAGTTTTGCCAGTTCCAGATTTAGTACAACTTCCTCCTGAGAAAGTTCCTCCAATTCCTATGGTATTCTTAAATGCATAATCAATGCCCACGGAGCCACCAAAGCACTTCTCGACTTCATTGCTGGTAACGCCTGTAGCAGATAGAGAAAAAGAAAGTGTCAAGATGTTAAAGGACAGGTAATATGACACAACCAGATCTGCACCCAAAACCTAAGTCTTCACCCCAGATACAGTCCCCCCCAGGATGATTCCAGCCCAAATAAATTTTGAAATGAGTAGGAATATGTATTGTATATATTAGATGTTCAAATTTACTGGTTATCTTTCTCCTTGCCCATTCTACACTTAGCCTCCTTGCAGCAGTGATTATATCTCATTCACCTTCATATACCTATGCGCCTGGCCCATTATAGGTCCTGTTATTATTCCATTTCCCGTGCTTCCTTTCACCATCTTTCTAAAGCCTATTAATTCTTCAATCTCCAATTCAAAGTCATTTCCTTTATGAAGTATTTTTGGGTCAGAATCCTTCTCTATTTCTCCAAAGCTACCAATGGTTTTTAGTTTGTGTCCGACAAATCAGTTTGGTAACAATTCTTTTTGTCCAGATATTCTTTGTATCCCACAGAGGCTGGAGTTCTGGCAGAATATGGATAGATCACCATGGGGAGTCTGCATATCCTTCTGACCCCACAAAGATGGAGAGTCACACATTAGTTGTCTCTGTGTTTGCCCATACCTGAGGACCTGGTGAGGTGCCTGCATTTTGCAGATGGGAAAATAATGCTCAGAGGAATAAAGTCAATATTTCCTCATAATACAGCCCCTAAATAAACAGAGCTAGGGGTCAAACCTAATAAGGTTCACCTGGCAAGATGAGGCTAGAAAAGTTGTTGTTGTTAGTTACTCTAAAGGCAATTCCAACTCATAGAGACCCAATGTACAGCAAAACAAAACACTGCCTGGTTCTGTACCATCTTCACAATCATTGCCATGCTTGAGCCCATCGTTGTAGCCACTGTGTCAATCCATCACAATGAGGACCTTCCCCTTTTTTGCTGACCCTCTACTTTATCAAGCATGACATGCTTCTCCAGAGACTGGTCCTTTCTGATAACATGACCAAAGTACAAGAGATAGAGTCTGACCATTCTTGCTTCCAAGGAACATTCCAGCAGCACTTCTTCCAAGACAGATTTATTTGTTCATTCTCTGGCAGTCCATGGTATTTTCAATATTCTCTGCCAATACCATAATTCAAATGCGTCAATTCTTCTTTGGTCTTCCTTATTCATTGTCCAGCTTCCACATGCATATGAAACAACTGAGAATACTATGGCTTGGGTCAGGTACACCTTAGTGTTCAAAGTGACATCTTTGCTCTTTAACTCTTTAAAGAGATCTTTTACAAAAGATTTGCCCAGTACGATAAAACGTCAGATTTCTTGATTGCTGCTTCCATGGGCATTGATTGTGAATCAAGTAAAATGAAATCCTTGACAACCTCATTCTTATCTCCATTTATCATGACTTATTGATCCAGTTGTGAGGATTTTTGTTTTGTTTTTGTTGAAGTGCAATCCATGCTGAAGGCTGTAGTCTTTGATCTTCCTCAGTAAGTATTTCAACTCTTCTTTACTTTCATGAAAGGTTGCATTGTCTGCATATCATAGGTTGTTGTTGAGTCTCCCTCCAATCCTGATGCTGCATTCTTCTTCATATAGACCAGCATCTCAGACTGTTTGCTCAGCATACACATTGAATAAGTATGGGGAAAGGCTGAAAAAGTAAGACAGCAGCAAAGTATTGACAGTGCTACAGAGTTCAACTTTATCTGTAGCTAAAGCAATCCTCTGGAAGATTATAAACCCATTCTGATAACCTAATTTATATTTTGAAACATCATTACTTTTAATTGCAATTGTGAAAGAATTACTATTAGTCATAGAGCTATTCCAACAATCACAAAGGAAAAACAAATTAGACCTACAATTCAAATAAGATAATAATTAGCTTTATTTTTTTTTCCCACGGAGGTTTCAAGCATCAACATTTACCACACTAAACTGCAAACTCTTTGAGGTTAAGGTCTTGTGTCATATTCACCATTCCATTGCCAGCACAGCAGTACATTGTCCAGCATAAACTAGGAGTTCAGTAAGTATTTTTAGATTACATGAGTAATGAATGAAATTTTTTTTAAAGAAAAAAAAGGATGACTAAATGAATGCTATGAATTCTTTGTGGTCCCTGAGTGCTGCAAACAGTTAACACGCTTGGCTGCTAACAGAAAGGTTGGAGGTTCAAATGTACCTAGAGGCACCTCAGAAGAAAGGCCTGGTGATCTACTTTGGGAAAATTAGCCATTGAAAACCCTATGGAGCACAGTTCTCCTCTAACACACATGGGCCACCATGAGTCAGAGTCTACTACTTGGTGTCAACCAACTCTGATTTCTTTGGTGAGAGCTTCTCATGGAAGGAATTAAAAAAGAAAGAAAGAAAAATGGAGCTCTGGTGGCATAGTGCCTAAGGCATTAGACTGCAAACCAAAAGGCTGGGGGTTCAAACCCACCTTAGAAGCCAGGAATCCAGTTTTTGTTTGTAAGAATTTGGACAATTCCATGGCCTCTCTGGGCCTCAGTTTCTCCATTTATAGGAAGAATGCATTGAACTTGTTCATCTCTAAGGTCCCTTTCAGCCACAGCTCTCTGACTGTGAATATCAGTTTCGGAATAACCCCTGAGCTCAAAGTGCCTGGGGGAAATGATGCTTTAAGTACTAGCACTTAGCACCAAGCCAAGGGCTTCTTCTGCCTGTTTCCATTCAAGCACTTCTGATTTTTAATGCATTACTAATTGAGGAAAAGTTAGCATATTTAATTGTTTTGATTAAAAAATGCTTCAACAGTGATAAACAAACGTGGATGAAAGGGATTCATGGGCAGAAGTAAGAGTGATTACTTAGGTGAGTGGTGGAGTGCTGCCGAACTAAAGTGACAGGATTGGCTGATTAATGGGGGCTGCAGGATACCTGCGGAGTGATTATGTTCATGAAGGGTCTGCCGACAACCTGCAACATGCTGCTGGGAAAAGAGAATTCCAACTTGATTTCAGCGGTGAAACTTGATTGCAAAGGAGTACCTTCTGAGGATCCCCCAACTAGTGTACCAGCAAGCAAGGGGAGGCTTGTGAACTTAGAAAGAACCATAGAAGTTGAGAGCTAAAAGTGTCCTTACATACCCAGCCCACACTTCTAGATCCAAGTTCATAAAGGTTAATTATCTTGCCTAAGACCATACTGCTAAACAATGGTGGAGCTGAGATTCAAATTCTAGTCTGTCTTGCTCAGACACTAGTTGCCCTTGAGTCACCTCTGACTCATGCTGATCCTATGTATGTCACAGCAGAACTGGGCTCCACAGGGTTTTCAATGGCTGATTTTTCAGAAGATCCTACCTGTGAGAAGCTAGTAGGTTTGGGGAAAATATATTAAATGAAGACTATTTTGTATCCTGAAAGAGCTCTGGTGGTGTAGTAGTTAAGGCATTTGACTGCTAACTACAAGGTTGGTGGTTTGAACCCACTAGCTGTTCTACAGAAGAAAGATGAGGCAACCTGCTTCTGTAAAGATTTACAGCCTTGGAAACCCATTGGAGTTTGCTATGAGTCGGAACTGACTTGATGGCAGTGAGTTTGTTTTTTTGGTATTTTATATGCTGAGTGTTGCTTGTTTCAATGCAGAGCTAGAAGAGGAGTCTTTCATCAGAAGCAAGATACCAAATCTGAGAACCAGTGAAAAACCAAGACCCATAATCTTTGGCAATGGTGGGGACAGGAGACCTCAAACCCAATGCCAAAATATGGGAATTTAAATGGGTATTGGAATCCAAGACACAGAACCAGACTGATGAAAGCAAAGAGTTGAGACAGACAGAAGGACTTCTCTGGAGCAATTGCATAGAACATGCCCAGATGGGAGTGTGACATGGATAGACTGATTATATTTACAGAACCAAGCAAAGCCTGCATTACTAAATACCCTGTGCCAACAGATTAGATTTCTTAGCTGCCAACCATGGATGAGATCAAACTGAAATATGTTTTGGCCTTTTGAGCACAGTGAGCTCCATAGTTGATGGCTTCCAAACCTGGTAACACATGGAAATCATCTGGAGCACTTCTTAAAAATATAAGCACCTGACACCTATTTTTATCAATTCTTACTCAGTATTTCTGAGAAATCAGAAAACTATATTTTTAAATGAGTATTACAGATGCAGCATATCCTAGGACCAGATGTGGAGTAAGTACCACAGTCCTAGAGAGAACCACTGGTGGTTGCCACAGGGTGTTGGCCTCTGCTCTTTCTCAGCCAATGCATTTGTCAATGCTTTGGATGACAGGTTCATTATATTTACCTAGAATAAGAAACTAGGAAAAGCCAAGGATATTTTAGATAAAGCATCAGGATCAAAAAGCCTGGAGAAGACTAGATGGATAATGAATGGTCCATGTATAGCAAAACGAGACTCAGTTGGGAAAGCTGTAACATCCTATCCTGGGGACCAAATATCAAGTGCACAAATGCAGGAAGGACTGGATATGGTTTAGCAGGACAACTAGAGAAAACGTCTAAGGGACAGTGAAGCCAGGTGAAAAGTCAGGTTAGAATTACAATCACCAAAATAAAGGAGAGGATAATCCACTGTCCTGTGCACAGGTTCAGAAGCTCAGCACAAGATGCAAAGTTCTGGGAATGATACTTCAAAAAAGAAATAAGAAAATAGGGAATAATCAGAGAAGAGAAAGCACGAGGGTAAGGAAACTCAAAGCTATATATTCTAGGGAATTTTTAAGGGGACTTAGGAGCTCTGGTGGAGTAGTGCCTAAGGCACTTGACTGCTAACCAGGTGGCTGGCAGTTCAAACCCACCAGCCACTCCTTGGAGGGAACATTGGGCAATTTACTTCCATAGTGATACTGCCTTGGAAACCCAAGGAGGGGTCGCTATGAGTCAGATCCAACTCAACAGCAGTGCATTTGTGTTTGGTTTAAAGATGCTTACTTGAAGAACAGAAGATATAACTCTTCTTAAGAGAGACCAATAAGGACTGGATTAAACTTTCTGGA